TTTTAAATAAATTGCCAAGAGGGGACCTCAATCTCTGAGCGACATTTTCATATCCAAGCGGGGACATTTACATACTGCAATATAACTGCCTGTACCTGTTTTTTTTTTCTAAAGAGTATTTGCTTCTTACAATGAATTATTTTAACTCTTTTAGGAAATTGATCATTTAACTTGAGTGAATTCTTTTCGGTATGTTGTGCCATATGCCATGATCATACTTTTTGGACATTGGGAACCAGTGTCCATATTTCATCTTGATAGGATGACCAGAGGAGAACACGCAGTTTTAGTGAATCACAGCTGGGGGACTTCTGCAGCCCCTCAGGTCTGGCATAATTTGGGACAGAACAAACATGTCTTTTGATGATGCTAATCATATCGTGTGTTTACTGCTGAGTAAAGACAACGCTAATTGATGCTAAAGAATGGACTGCATGCTACGCTAGGCTACAGGAATATGTGTTGAGCTGTTGCTGTAGCTTGGAGAAGCTTTGTTCTCTAAGGGCTAAACACTGATATAACATTAGTCTTCATATGTTCCTCCAATGCTCATTACATTTCCATTAGCAAGTATGACCAAGAGTCATTTAATGGAATCCTCATGTGTATTCCCTGCTAGCTATTTCAAAGAGGGTAAAGAATCATTTAACTAAAGATTTTTGGTTCTTGATTAAGCAAATCATTCAATAAAACATTATTTGGCCAAATAATGTTTTATTCACCTCATGTATTTGCATTGTGAATTTGTCTGTAAACATTCCAATTTCTTTGAAATTAGTGAAAAGCTAATTTGATCACATCCCAAATTCAAACACAAAAATCCATCTTAGACTGTAATATGTTTTTCAACCATGTTTTCCCCTTCCTCTTTGTACATAGTAGTTAGTTTAGTTTAGTTGAGTTTTACTAGTCTTAGTTGAGAGTGTTAAACTGAAATATGTTTGACTTGGAGCTGAATGATTTTTTGTTAATAAACGTATATTTTGAACTGAAGTTGTGGTGAATTTATTCCATGTATGTGCGGAATTAACTGTTTGATCATGATTAGTGCTCGAATCACTCTTTCATCTATTGTTCTAACACACAGTTAGTAGGACTGTGTGTCATAAACACTATATAAAAGCTGAAATAATACGTCCATATGTTATTTTTTTTTCCCCCTCAGAAGACATTAGTTTTAAAAAATGTGGATAGCAGACCTTTGTACTTGCGTATTTGAGCCCTAAGATGTTTGCTTTCCTCCTGGATCCACTCCTCCATCCCTTTACGTCCCATCCCAAAATCTCGTAAAGTTGTCAGAGTAAAGCGCCGCAGCTGACGCCAGCGTTCCCCGTTACTGATACCAATACCTGTCGAACAGAAATGTGCATTTGAAAAGGCAAACTGGAGTTTTTAGACATTAACACCATAAGAAAGGTCACATTTGATTGCTTACCAAAGCCTTTGGTGGCTTTGTACAAAAATGGCACAGGCGCTCTGCCTGTGAAGTCGTCTGCCTGGTCCACCAAGGCTTCTTTCACTGTATCATATCCTACCAGAACAACCACCCGCTGCCACCCCAGGTAGAGGGTCATCACAGGACCGTAGGTCTTACTGAGCTAAAGGTAAAAACAAACGATCTTTTAAAACTTTTTGATTTTTGCAAATGAAAGGAAAAATAAGGTAAATTCATTTTAATTTTTTATGTGTGAAGTCATCAAAACATTGAACTTCCCTCAGAATAATTGCAACAACAATACAACATGTATGGTATTCATCAACTCACCTCCAGAAAGGTTTTAAAAGGTGCATTCTTGTCTATTTGTGGCAGGTTTCCTATTAGAGGCAGTGGATTTGGTCCAGGTGGTAAACGGTAGCTCTGCTGGTTTTTAACAGAAAAGAACCAGATCAGACCTATTAGCCCTGCCAGGAGCAGAGTTGTATAAAACTCCATGCTCTTCACTGTATACAGGTTTCCCTCTTCTCTGCAGTGCTCTCTGAACTCTCTGGCTCACACTGATTGGTTCTTTCATCAGGGCAGTTGTTTATATTTAACAGAGACCTGAAAGAGGCGGAGCAGGCTCCATGTGATCTGAGAGCGGACCTTCACCTAATTATGAGGAAAAACCTGTTCAGGATTTTTGCCAAAAGAAACACGGTGAAAGGTTCAGCCTACCAGGCCACAAACAGCATTTCTCGATCACAATTTAACAGGCAAATGTATGAAGCTTTGAGAAACTTTTGTTTTAATAAGTGGTAAAAGAAAACTCAGAATCAGAATTTCATCTGTAAATAAAAAAAGAAAGAAAAACAAAGCAAAGTACCTTGCTAAATTGATTTGAATATATGACTGAAATCTTGATATGAGATAAGACATAAGTGGCATCTCCAGTACTACTGACAATGAAATGTTCTATGTGTATAACTTTCAGCGTTTTCTTTTCATGTTGTTTAAATATATCAGTCTATTATATTGCACATATTTTTTAGTGTAATGTTTACATACGTATATAAAGATATATATTTATGAAATTCCAAAAAAAAAAGAAAATTTAAAAACAATCTACTGGACTGTGTTTTCAAGTTTGAAGACATTTCACTTCCCATCCAGGAAGCTTTCTCAATTCAATGACTAGGGAATGACTTTGGAATGACTATGACCTGGATGACTGAGAAACTTCACCAGCATATGTTTATGAAAATGCGGTTTACACATGACATAAATACTTAATGTGATATATATTATGCAGTAATAAAATGGTCTTAGTGACATAAAATATAGAGACATGATAAGGATAATTTCATTTTAAGTACACTATTAATCATATAATTTTTGCTCTTATGAGGAGTGCGTTAGGATTATTATCATTGATGATGTAGGAGTTAATACATTTCTGAGCTTCCATGCCCTTTTAGGTCAATTTGACAATCGGTTGTTTATAGATACAAACGTAGTGCATATATACACTTAGTGTTTCTTGGACGAAATTTGCTAATACTTTATTCCTGTTGCAGTAGATTGAATGAATGTAATTTTCAACAGTTTCTTTTGTATCTATGGGGTGTAATCTGTGTGTATATTATGTGTTATATATGTGTATACTATATAGATAGAAATAAATTGAGCTTCTAAATAGTGGATAGTTAATTAGTAGTATCTGCCAGTTAATATCTCTTTTGTATTCTGTGAGGGAAGTGGATTTATGCTGCTTTCAGACTGTGTTGTGACACCTCAAAGAACAAAAACTGATTTGGGGACTGTTTCTAAGCGTTTTTCTACTACTTGCTAATTTCTCCTCTGATTATGAAAAATGTGTAAAAAACTGTCCGGATTATTTATTCAGGTTCTAAAACAACTTTCCCCTCTTATGCACTAATCTGCTGCATCCTCAGCCCTCTCTTATCATTTGTCAATTTGTTTGCACTGCAGCTTGACCAAGATTGAACAGGAAAAAAAAAATAGTCTAGAGTAAAAGGCGTGCATCAACTGTGTCAACTGTGGGTAAAGGTTCTTCTTCCCACATCAGGTTAAAAGTCTATTTGAGTTAGTAGATAATTTCTACCCAGTAAAATAAATAACACATCGACAAGAGTATTGTTAATAAACACTTTATAGATGTGGCTCCTTATAAATATTGTTTGGTAAGTTTGGAATTCAATATTTTACCAAGCTATTGTTGTTTCTGTGGCATGGGAAGAATTTAAACAACACCTACAACATTGGAATACTGATAAAGATTCTGTCAAATAGAACGTTCATATCGTGCTGTGCAGTCTGCTTGTTAGTTTTTTTAGGGCTGCTTGGCTGCTTACTACTGTGCTCCACTGTGCAGTGGCAGACATATGTAGATATTTTTGTGCCCTAGGTGAACTTTTGTCATAGGGCCTTATTGCCTTAATATCCCAGTTGGCCTACATGTGACAGATTCTGTAAGGCTCAGTGTTATGCATGAATGTGTTCAATGAACACTGTTTACTGCATGCGTTCATATTTTTAGTGAAGAGTGAACTGAATGGATCAGTTTTTTAGTATGAATGTGTACGAGAGCGACTTTCATTCTGAGGAGAATGAGTGACACACACAGTTCACATTCGTGTTCAATTGATAAGAACACTTTTCATTGGATAATGTTAGCTTTTACAGCACTTATTATGGCCAACGGCATGACAGCGATGGCATGTCTAGTACTGCATAATTTAAACTCATCTTCAGGTATTTCTGATGCCAGTTTTGCAGAGCGCTTTGCAGAGTTTTAAGAACTAACAAAGGAGGACTCACGCAGAACAAACTAACGTTTTTGTGCAAACTGTGCCCACCGGGACTTAACAAGTACGTCAGCCACGAATGTCAGCCAAGCCCACTTAAACTTTAAGCAATATATTGAGTTAAAGCATCTGAGCTATCTTGGGAAATATCTGTGACTGAATGAGGAAAATAAGAAATCCTCTTGGATCCAGATCCTTTAGCAGAAACTGAATGTACCTGTAATTTTCTGAAGTTCTGTGTAATTTGGCTAAATAAGGGCTTCACTGCATGTGCAGTATGCCTTGACTGCATCAAGTATTTTCCATTTCTCTCCATATATAATAATCAAACATTTAAATATGAAATATGAGGCTCTATTGTAAAGGATTGTGGCTTAATTTACCAAACTTAAACTAGTTCTTTTATAGGTTTGTGCAATTTCTTGAAAAAGTGCCTAATAATGTAAGCTTGTTCATTTTCGTCTGTGTGAAATGAACTTTGAGCTTGTTCTTTTTAATAAATATTGAATTAGAGGAGTGGCATATGAGTGGGTAAAAAGTTACCTGAAGGACAGAAAACAATTTGTAGAAGTAATAATGTAAAATCTGCTTTACACCACATCAGTTGGAGAGTACCACAAGGTTTGGTCCTCTGACCTTTACTTTTTCTTTTGTATGTCAATGACATCACTGAAGTTTATATTGTTTGCAGCTGACATGTTATTATTATTTGTTTTTACTTCTTTTTGCTCCTTTTGTTTCATTCATGATTTCATTTCTCTGCACAGGTTTTTTTTGTATTATTTTCTATGAATGAAGGAACATATTAAGTCAATAAATGAAAAGAAATAATGAACTGGCACAACATTGGTAGGAGTGCAATACTGGGAACCAAATAGCAGTGCAACTGTAACTATTTACTGTAGTACCCCTGAGCGATGGATCTAGAGGCTAATCATTTGCCACTCCTGTCACCACACTTAACCAGGGGATTTGTTGTTCCCCTTGGGATTTCATTCAATACCCCTGGAACAAGCAGTTCTCCTCTAAGCCTGATAGGGGCAGCAAGGATATCATCATGTGGAATTTCCTACTTTTACATTTTCATGCTGTTATATTGAGAAAAAGCTGAATTAAAATATGCAGCATTCACAACATTATACTACAAATAAAGATAACTAATACAGAATGTTTTTTTTATGAATAGGTGTTTATGTTTTATAGGGGAGAGTTTGTCTCTGCAGTTAGGAGTATTTTCTAAAGATAAAGAACTGTCAAGGTTAGTGGAAACTTGTTGATGACCCAAATGCAGAGCTGAAGAGGCAGGGATGATTTCTTGCTCAATTTAATGAAGAAGTAAAAACACAGAAGCAATGATCCAGAACCAATCAACAAGAACATCTGGTCCCAAAAAATAGGAGACAAAAAGGGAGGAATAAATCTAAGGAATGATGGAATGAAGAGAATCCAGGAAACAGTAACTGCAGAGGAGGAGTAAATGTGCCAGCCGGAACAATAAATGGACTAATCAAATGACTGGGAGCAGGTGTGGACAAAAGGATCTAGAAGGGAGCTGGGGGAAAGGAGAATGGCACAGGGGGGCAACAGAGAGTAAACGAGAAATACAACAGTGCTTAATAATAACTAGAAAATAACTTGGATGACACTAAGTGGAAATGAAACTAATAACTTAGAAAAAAAATGTGGTCTTATATATTTACTTATGCTATTTATCCAGTGAATTTTTTTTTACTCTTTTGTTTCACCTGCAAGGCTGAGAAAATGTCTGAGAGGTGATTTTAGACAAAACATACTTATTCCCACAACAAGCCAAACAGTTTCTCCAGGTTTGTTAAAGTGCGTATCATTTATTTTTACTCTGACACAACCTTCGCAGTTTTTTTTAATAACATAAGTAAGGGAGACAAACTCTGTCTAGTCAGAACAGGGCAGATTACTGTGCCATAAGGGCCGTATGATGAACTGTTCTCTCCTTGCAAAGATATGAAAATAAAGTGCTGACTGAGTGAAATCCATCGATCTGCTTTTATTTAACTGGGATAAATAGCTGAATACTTTTTCAAAGTTAAAACTTCAGAACCAAAAAGTCCAGAAAGGGCAGAATCATGACAAGTAAAGTGCTCAAGCCAGTTAATGTATATAGTATGTCGACCATACATACATTTAAACAGCACTAATATATGCTGTGTATATATATATATATATATATATATATATATATATATATATATATATATATATATATATATATATATATATAT